GAAATATCACTATTTTAATTCCATTCCTTTTTTAAAAAACCTCACATTTTCATGATTAAAATGTAAATTACAGTTAGGCCTTTTGTAGCTCACTATGAATCAGTACCAAGACTGTTTCCAGGAGAGAATATAGAACAGAGTACAAAACTAGGTAGAAATAAGAGGAAATGGGTGGGTGCACATGCAGGACTCAGTTGAGTCAGAGACCAGTGAAATGGAGCAGCCCAGTGGCACACTCCTTGGCCCTGCATTGCCCAAAAGCAGCAGCAACTTTTCATCTTGAATATGTATTTTCAGACTTAGGTACTAAAAAGAACTTTGTTGAAAGAACGAAGGATGAAAGTCAGGTAAACTAGGATTTGTGTGGCTTCCAAATACTTATTAAACACATTGCTGAAACTCCTTGGTTGTATATCAGCTAGCTGGGGATTACATCTGAGGATTAAATTAGATTTATGTAGAATTTGAACTTCTTTATCAGTCTTGACTGCTGAAGAAATGGATTTCTATCCACAGCCTTATAGCCAGCCAAGTCATTTGACTTAATAAAGTATTTCAGAAGAGATTAAAGGTTCTGGGGTGATCAGTGTCTAAATCCCTAATCTCTGTATGCACATTTGATCATTTATTCAGCGTCATGACTCGTATCATCCTCAAGCATGCTGTGCCACTGAATGTTTCCTCTGACCTCCTACACAGACACTACCACCCCTACAATTCATTCAGATTGTCCTATTAGAAGTCAACTGAATATGGTACTCTAGTGATCAGATATACAAAGACCCGTAAGCCCCACAGATCACAGGAGTTGGAATTCAGTTTCCTTAGGTACACTCATCTTTATTATTGGAATTTATAGCTATATTGTTCACAGATGCCAAAATGTTTACTTGGAAAAGAATAGCATCTATAAAAGCTGTTGTTGCTCTGATTTTTAGCACAGGATACGTGAGACTTCTTTAAAATATCAAGAAATCAATTCATTGTAAAGACTTTCCTCCCATGCAAAGGGCAGTGGATTATTTAAAAGTCCTGGCATTCGAAGCAGCTGGAACTACTTTCTTTCAGTCGTTTATAAGTATTTTATGGATGTAACTCAAGGTGGCTCAATGACTAAGCGCTAGGCTACTAAGGGAAAAGTCAGCAGCAGTTGAAACTCACCAACCTCTCTGTGCTCTGTGGGAGAAGGAGGAGACAGTCGGCTTCCATAAATATTTACAGCCATGAAAACTCTAAGGGGCAGTTCTATTCTGTCCTATAGGATCCCTGTGAGTTGTAATCCACTTGACTGCAATGGGCTTGAGGACTCAAGTTGTATTTTTTATTGTCAGAAATATCACTTATAGCAGAGCCTAAAGTCCTTGGTGAGGCAAACAAACTGTGAAAGAAATCATTTGAGTCCTATAAAAGAAAGGGAAAAGGCAATGTAGCTCATGTGAAGTTTTATTTGTTTATTATGGGCCTTTAAAGAAGTCTGTTGGAATGGCTGAGTTTATGGTCCTATTTTGCAGTTGGTGGAAGTGAGTTTTGTGATTCTGTTTTGTGACTTCTGTACCTAAATCCACAGCATCTCTTTTTCCCTTTACCTATAGAATTTACTCCTTTGGATAGTATCAAATACTGTGTCACATGCTGGCTTGTTTTGCTAATTTGTTTCTATAAGTATTGTCTTTTTACTTAGATTACCTTGTTCTGTGCATTAGGAGTTCTGGTAGCATAGTGCCTAAGGCACTTGACTGCTAATCAAAAGGCTAGTGGTTCAAACCCACCAGCCACTCCTCGGAAGGAAGGTTGAACAATCTACTTTCATAGTGATACTGCCTCAGAAACCAAAGGAGGGGTCGCTATGAGTAGGGTCCGACTCCATGACAAATAACAACAACAACAGCATTCTGTGCATTCCACTTACTCTCCTCTATTCAGAGGACTGTTTCAGCTTGAGCACTCAGGAAGTTTGTTGATTGATTGACATCGTTGGTTGACACCCACATACAGCACATGGCTAGCTATTTATTCTATTTGAGTTAAGCAAAATAATGTTGGAATTCACTGAGAAACTAAACTATTGTTTGGGACTTGCTACATTTTATTTCTGATATAACATATATGTAAAACAATTGACATCTGTGCAAATGAAAAAAAAAGCAAACTACTACTGAGGATTTCCATTCTGATTCCATCAATGACCCTCATGTCTCAATTTAGGTGCTTTATGATGGAAAAGTATTTCGGTGCAATCTGTTATTATTTATTGAAGGGCTGAACATAACTATGAGTTAATAGATCTGAATTCCAGTTTCAATGCCACTACTATCTGCTGCTACCATCAGCAAATCACTCTTATTCTGTCTTCACTTTCTTCCTTTGCAAAACTGGCACAGTAGTAAACTTTTACAGCTTCTGCATGGAGTTATTTTATATGGATGAAAAAGGCAATTGAAACATTCTTGAAATATTGAAATAAGCCTTCTTTCCTTATACCCCAACTTAATATAATCATTGCATAATTTTTTTTAAAGTAATAGTCAAATAGAGCTGGGTTTTTAATGTTTTAGAAAGCTAAATGCTACAACTGTGTGGTTTCTAAAAGTAAATATAGGCTGCTCATTTTGTATGAATTCTCAGTATTGCCAACTGTTGTTTTCAGATAATGTTTTATCCATTAAGAATGTTTAAAAAGGAATGCTTTTCTTCTTCTTCTTCTTCTTCTTCTTCTTCTTCTTCTTCTTCTTCTGAGTGTAAAGCTGGTCATCATTTTCTGTGCAGTGTATCATTAATTCTGTTGCTGTCGAATCCATTCCAACTCATAGTGACCCTAGGACAGAGTAGAACTGCCTCATAAAGTTTCCAAGGCTGTAAGTCTTTACAGCAGCAGACTGCCACGTCTTTTCTTCTTGTGGGGTGGCTGGTGGGTGCAAATTGCTGACCTTTTGGTTAGCAGAGGAGCGCTTACTACAGCTCCAGCAGGACTCCTTAAGGTATCATTAGGCAATCTATCATGCGTCTTTTGTTCTGGCACTCATGACTTTCTTGACTTTACCTTCTCTCTCTTACAGTAGTCCCTTTCTCCCCTCCCATCTCTTGCTCATAGTTTTGCCCTTTTTTGTTCTCTTCTCATTTTTCCTCTTTGTCTATATTCTCCCTCCTCTACATCTGTTTTATGTATTTTACGTGTTACCTCTGTGCAAAGAGATTCCATAGTTGAGTTTCCAGGCCCACACTTACTGCTCAATTTCAGCGATGAATTGGAATTAAATATGAAGCCCATTGTTTAGACTACATAACATGGAGCTGCAACTAACATTAACCCAACTTAGAGGATACGTTGTTTTGGGGAAAAGGATAAGGAGTTTGACTCTGCAGTGCCTTCCAAATAAAGTCTTAATTCTTAGTCTTCAAAAAATTTGTCCTAACCTACTACTCCAGCCTTAACTCTCACTCTGTAATGCTCTGTAGGAACTTGTTGATTCTGCTCACAATTGTCTTGTTTCTAATCCTTTGATTTTTTTTTTTTTTTTTTGCCTCCACATTAACTTGTTGAAATACCACTCATCCTGAAATGACGTCTTATTCATAACAACTTTGTGGTTCTCCCAATTGCAAAATTTTTCCTTTCCTGGACTCCTTCCATTTTTTTTGTACCTTTTTTATGGCATCTAGCTGATTGTGGTTTTTTCACTACTATAGTTTTTGTTTGTTTTATTTTACTTCCTGTTCCTTTTTCTGTTAATAAAACAGTGTTCTTTTTCCAATTACCTTTAGATCGACTCTGCCTCATGGCACTATCATGAGTGTCAGAGTAGAGCTGAGTTCCATAGAATTGTCAATGGCTCATTTTTCAGAAGTAGATTGCCACAGCTTTCTTCTGGGCTACCTTTCTGTGGACTTGAACCTCAAACCTTTTGGTTATCAGCCAAGTATATGTTAACCATTTGCAACCCCCAGGGACTCCAGGTTGTGTTCTACTTATCATTTTGTTCACAAGAATGTCTTCTAGGAGGTTTATTGGGGGGGCAACAAAAGAAATCATAAAGAGTTTAATTAAATTGAATTAGGACACATTTTAGATATGGAAATCAAGTTAAAACTTTCACGGAACTAGACAAGGTTAAAGAATAAATTTCCTCCACTATTCGTATCTGAAAGAGTCTTTAAGTGTGACTAAGAAGAAAGAATGAGTCTGGTGGTGCAATTGATGGCCAAAATGATAACTGAAGCTACTAACCAAAAAGTTGGCAGTTTGAACTAACTCAGTGGTTCCATGGGAGGAAGAGCTGGTGAACTGTTTCTGTGAAGATTATAGCCAATAAAGCACTATGGGGCAGTTCTCTTCTGTCCCATGGCCTCACTATGGGTTGGAACTGACTCAACAGCATCCAACAACAATAAGAGGGAGGAAAATCAAACTGTATGGCTCATAAATGCTAGTGAGTTTTGAAAATCTATATTGCTAGAAATCAATAAGCAGCTATCACAGACTGTGGAGTCATGAATGCTGTTTGCAAATCTAAATACTCAATTTACTTGTTTGACACACAGGGCGTACATTTAAAGCTTATTGAAAGTCTACAAAACATTAAAAAAAAAAGTGCTCTAGGATTTGGGCAGGTTTAAAAAACAAGACATAAATCTTAAATGTTTGAGTAAAAACTTATATAACACAGTTTCCATAACCCTTTGTTTAGGGAAAAAATACAATTTGAACAAATATTTTCAAGTAGTGCTAGTGAGAAAAAATTAAACTTGACTAAGTATTTTAAAGGAATGTCAGGAACAGCTTTCTTTCTTTCTTCTTATTATTATCATTATTATTATAGCAAGAAGGGATCTTTCCTGAGAAATAACCTTTCTTCAGATTTTGACTCACTCCTAAGAAGGCCAAGTCTACACACAAAAAAATAGAGGTGTTAACATGAGCTCTCCAGCCCTTTAAAATTTCAGCCTCTTCATTTGCATTTTCCCTGCTTATTTGATTTACATTATCTATATTTTCTTCTTAGATTACTAAAACGGGAAGAAAGTTTCACATTCGTTCCTCGGTCCCGTGAAGATCTTCCAGACAACTTTCCAAAGGAAATCCCTGGGATCTGCTACTTCCTGGAGGTAAGGACTGGTCCAAAGCAGCCAAAGCCCTCTCTTTCTTCATCGAGGATAAGAAAAGTTTCCTACAACATTGGCACCATGTTCCTCCGGGAGACAAGCCTCTGAGACCTGCTGCAGATCAAAGACTCCTTCCTCCAAAAAGCACAAGCCCAGAACATGGGTCACAACAGGAGACGGGAAAGAGATTGCTTCTCTTTTACTGCTTTGTGGAGAAGCAGTGGCAACATTTCTGTTATGTCAGGCAATAATCTGAAAATGGAGGGGGATGACTGTCGATTAAAAACAAAACTAGAAGTCTAGGGAAATAAGTTGTGTCTATCCATCTAAGTGTTTTTGGTTATATACATACATAAATACATATAAATTACAAATATGGGCCCCTTTTGAGAACATTTCCAATAAATAGATTCCGAGTTTCTTTTGTTTGTCACACATACAGATATCTTTCCCTATATATTTGTACCACTTTTGAGAGCCAGTTTGGGTTATATATTCCTACGTTTAGTGAGTTGGTGGGTTTAGAATATTTTCTAATTTTTTGTTTTGTTCTGTTTTTTTAACAGACATTTCATACATATATCATTACAGTGTGGTGAACTTTCCAGCTGGAAGAACTATAACTCAAAATATTGTAGGAATATTACCTATTTTTATACATGTCTCTTCTTCTGGATAATTACATTTCACATGACATTATTAGATTTTCAGAATCTGCTATTCTATAGTTGGTATGTTATGTAACTGTAACCTATTAATCTAATATAGTTTCGCTTATTTAGAGAGATTAGTGCTTAGATTGAGAATACAAATAACAAAGGATTTCAGATGTCGAGAAGGCATTGTATGTCTGTCTGCTTAGTAAATATATCTTTTAGATTTAATTAATGTAGCTTGGGATCCAGAGTAAATGGAATTCCCTAGTAGCAGATATATCCATAACCAAAATTAAGAAAAGGTCTTTTTGCCATCTTCTAACAACATATCAGTTAAAATGAAATGTTTTGCTCCATTGGAACTTTTCAATTTAGTGCTTATAAATACACATAGTTTCTGGAACATAACCTGCATTCTGTTAAACGGCATCTTACTAAATGACAGGTTAGCACCCACTCCCCAACCTCCTTCCCTACTGATTCTTCTAAGGGATAGCTGCCACTTTGGGAACAAATTCCCGATGATACTGCAGTAGTGAGAAAGAGGTGCCACATTTTGCTGAGAATGTTGCTTCTTCTTGCATAACACAAAGCAAGAAAGATTTTGTATTTTATGACTTTGAGATGGAAAAGAAAAAAAAAAAGTTCTTCTGCAGTTTGATTGATGTGGCTTTTAAATTCGGTGAATCATCTTCATGAACTCTGAAGTAGGTCTAACCTTCAGATCTAGTAATCACCATAGTTACAGATAGGTTTCCATCGCATGTTCTCTGAAATGAAGATCTGTTTCCATTAATCAACAATGCATGGAAATATTCTCTCAGACTCACCCTGAAATCCAGAGCACAGTTTGTCCAGAGTTTTCACATTTGCATCAGATAGAAAACCTGCATTTCTGTTGAGGTTAATGAATTGGAAGCATTTGTTTCCTTGAAACCTTGGAGTGTCCATTTTCTTACTCCAGAAGGCATACTCAGCAGTAGCTGATGTCTACTGAATGCAATATATTTATTTATCTGGTCAGGGATTTTGGCCGCATTATTATTTGGTCTTGACATACTCAGCTAAGGAATACAACTAATTTCCAATGTAGTCTGTGAGGCTTAATCAATCTTTTAAAAACTCTAAGTGTGTGACTAGAAAACATTTATAGATATGCAAAATATTTGTTATAATTGTGATAACTTTGATAGTTATTGAGCTCTGTTTTCACTCTGGGGTGTATGAGGACGCTAGTGAGGCATTCTTCTTGTGGAAAAACAGGACTTAGGCCCTGAGCAGTCTAAATTCTTCTGTGTCGCCCTCTCCCCTGGGCCATGGTCTCTGTTTCTGGCATTTAGGGAATAGAAGCCAGGGTGCTTATGTGTAGGCTGAGGACAGGGCACTTCCATGGGAGTGATTCCTCAGAAAGGAATCTCTTCAGGAGACCTGGAGGTTAGCTCAGTGCTTCCTGAGGCTGGGGTGGAGAGGCCACCAGTGTGGACAGAACAGGCTAGGAGCACTCAGTCCTCACCCTGACATTCAGGAACCCCTTAGCTATGCTGATAACGCTGATGGGTCTTTTTTAGCACAGGAGCATGGGGAGAGAACCAAGCTCACTGAAGTTATTTATCCTTATTCTGAGCAGTAACTTAGAACTTAGTATGATATGTTAAATCAGTAAACATTTTGGAGATAACAATGTGTTTTTTTTTTACCCATAAGGCTGAAGGGACTTCCAGGAATCACACAATCTATTTCTCTGCTTTTTGTAAGGATTTGTCTAAGTAACTACACTAAATATATGGTTATTCTCTCTATACTTAATAATTTTTATGGAAACCATCCTTGGGAATCCAGTAATTGGTGATCAGGCCCCAGAGAAGAGTTGTATATAGTGCATTCTCTCAATTTGTCAGAAGAATCACACACTATTAGTTTATATATTTTACTTAAAGAAGAAATAGCCATTTATACTGTCACAAATGTCACTTTGAAGAATATTCCAGAGATCTATTATATACTACAGCAGGATCTAAACTTCAGTTTTCATGCAGCATAATCTAAATGTGTCTTTGAAGCTATAGTCTGAGGCAATGGTCTAATTTCTTGCCTTTTGCTACTTAGTACAGCTGATTATTATACTTTCACTATTGCTTTATGTGTTTGTAAGGTGGTACATAAAATGTCTCTTCATTCTAGCTGATGTCATAGGATTTAGAAGCTGTGATAAAGCATTATATTTTTATTGTATGGCAGTTTGTTTTACATAATCCAGTTATCCATCAGGAATTGTTACTATAAGAATGTGGTGCCATTCTGTGTTTCATTTGACCACTATCTAGACAGTATTCTCATTTACATTAAACTATTACAAACATCATTCATTTAAATGTATCAGATTAAAGAGAATTTAAACAGATGTCCCCTTGGAAATCAAATGATATTAATTGGGGGAAATGGATTTATTCCTAAAAGAAATAATTTTAGATATAATCTGGTGCCCATAGCTCCCCCATTTTAATGTTCTTTCGAACAGCAAATTTGAAAAAGCGACTTAATAAGTAGCCATCAGTAACAAAGCTTCACATTGACATCAGTATCATTTTGATAGAGAAAATATCATTGATTACAAATAAATCTGTTATCTAACAAAATCACAATCCCCCACTCTGTACTCAAAACATACTGCACAGGATCTGGTGTATGAACTTTAATAAATAGGTAACATTAGCCAATAGAAAAAATTTAAAAAAAAAAATCATACTCAGTGCCTCAGGAACACATTTACTTGGGTCTCTTAGCTTTCGGGTGTGATGTGGAGAAGAGGAAAAAGAAGCGGCTTCTAAATAACAGGTAACCCAACTATCTAAAATATGCTTCTATATTCATCCCTTCTTTTATATTTTAAATTATTTTGGGTTTCCCTTTTAGTCCCTGGTTGTGTGTGGAGTCCAGTGAGCTGTGCCCAATTGTCACTCTGAGACAGACAGTAATGGCTGAGGCTTGAGAGTGGGTTTGTGGGTTTAGCTCTTCAGATGTTACCTCTCATGGTCTCACACATCATCCTCTGGTCCAGTGATGATGGTGCCAGGAACACAGTGTTCCGTTGTGAAAGTGTATGCTTCTCTAGGAAAAACAAAGCCAAACAGAACAATAACAAAGTAAACAAAATTGCATTCACAGATGCAATGAGCCTTTTAATTTTACAAATTCCTTCAAAGAGTTCCAACAATAAAGCAAAATTAAATTGATAGGTAAGAAGGGAAAACCATAGAGAGTTTGGACAACCACTACACTTGGTGTTTTGTCAAGAATCATATTATTACTGATTGAAATAATATATTTGAAGCTGTGATGAAGAGGGATCTCTAGATTATGACCACCATTAAACATATTTATTGAGAGCCTTTGGGTTCCTGACTTACTGTAGACAAGTGTTGTGCATGATTAGCACAGAAATGGAAACTTCTGCCCATAGGCTTCTGTCTTTTTGTGAACTTTGAAGCTCTATTTAGCCCACTCCAGACCTTCTCCTACTCCATGATGTCATTAGAAACCATCTCAAACCAGCCCCATCAATCACCATTCTTTCTGTGCCTCTGAACTTGGCGTGACCACAGAGGGTTACTAATGTCTTTTTCAAGCAAATAAGAAGGCCCACAGCCCTGAGAAACAGCAAACTTCTGAAGTGAACATAACACTTCTCAGGTCTCCTGGGGTATTGCTCACACTTACAACTTTTCTAAGCTCTCCTTTCTTCAAAATACCGACTCCAAACACTCCACATAACATCACTGAATGTTCCTTTGGAATTATTTATACATGACCTTGAATAAGCTTTGGGTATACCACATACCTTTCAGAAAACAAAACCTAAAACCTCAAATCCAAGACCAGCCTTCATATTGCAGTCTGGTAATTTCTATTATTACAGACCTTTCACTAAATATTAAAAGAAAAAAAAAAAGTATGTAGTTTCAGAGGCTTTTGAAAGCATACCTTAGTAGATACAAACTGAATAACTCATGATGCATGAGACAGTGAATTAATAAAGTTTAATGTATTCTAGTGTATTCTAGTCTGAATGATAGCTTTTTATGGGCAGCTGTTGGCATGAATATACCCAATTCACAGCCAGATGATTTAACATACTCATAAATTGTGTTAACACAATTGAACAAATTTTATTGTTAAATGAGTATTTTGATATAGCTGTGGATGTATTTTTAAGATCCTCGTGGTGGAGAATAAAGAACAGACACTGATGTCATGTACAGGCTAACATAATCCTGTTGCAGTATATTGAGATAGTGTGCAAAATTCCTTCCTCACACTTGATTCAAACAATTGATACCTTTCTGTTTTCTACCTTTGTTCCTCCTTTCCTTCCTTCCTTCTTTTCAAAAGAAACAGTCATTCACACATTTTTAACAAAAAAGAATCATGGCTAATCTCACATTATGAAATAGT